ATCCTTCACACGCATTTGTTTTTTTTTKTTTTTCTTTCTTTCCCTCCCTTCCTTTCTATTGCCCCACCCCTCTCTTTCTGTACAGGGATTGAAGCCAGGGGTGCTTTGCCATTAGCTGCATCTCCAACTCTTTATATTTTAAATTTTCAGACAAGGTGTTGCTAAGTTGCTGAGTCTGACTTTGAACTTGCGGGACTCCTACCTTAGTCTCCCAAACTGCTGGGATTACAGGTATAGGCCACTGCACTTGGCTGAACCTGTTTTSTCTTGAACCTGTGTTTGAATGGGGAGGACTTTGCTTCCAGTAAAACCAATGTAATGTGTTCAACTTAAACTTTGGTGCTGCAGGAACATGCACTGAGGGGAGTGTGAGAGGAAGTGTGTATTATGTGTGTGATGCTTAGAACCATCAGTGGACTCCTCCTCATTCCCAACTTTCTGATGGTAAGGGAGGTGAGCATGTAGGTTATGGTGGGGTGATACTATGTCCCTTTCTTTTGTTTCTGGGTAACACTATCCAGGACCACTCCTGTTGAGCCCATGTGGCATCCAACCAGTGTTATCCTAGTTACACACATATCCAGACTAAGCCCCTCAATCTCCTGGCTGCTATTGTTAACTGACGTCCTCTCAGAGTGTTAGCACTTTGGTTAGGGACATAAGAGACAAGGGAAATGCAGTAATTCAGAGCTGGAATCCTCATTCCTACAAGCAGTTTTTGTCTGAAGCTCAGTGAATACAAGTGATACCTTGGGCAGGTTAATGAGCATACTGCCAATTGTGAACTCAGAAGGAAACAAAGTTTATGAAGAATCTTTTTTCACTGTCTTATTGAACTTCCATATCTTGACTCTTACTATTTTATAGGCACTGTGCTAAGCACTTAACATGCATAATCTCATTTAGTTCTTAATCCCATGAGATATGTGTATTTATTCCTACTTTACTGTGGGGAAAACAGGTTTTCAGAAATTATTTTGGCAGCCTACCCTGCTAGTGAGTGATGAAATGATTAAACGCATGTCCTTCTATCTCCTAGTCCCAAATTGCAACCAACATTCCCAGAGTCCCATTCCCTGCCTTCAAAAAACTGACAAATTGCTTGCAGAGCTTATGTGTACAGGAAATATGTCTGATTAACATTAATAGTAATAGTATAACTTTCTATTTAAAAATGCTCTAGAACTTACAAAACATTTAGAAAATAAGGAATAATGGGAAAAGCAGGAAGTTGAGGGATCTCAGATTTGAATCCCATATCCTCTGTCTCCTAGCTGTGTGACTTAGGAAAGTCAAGTCCCTTCTCTCTGGGGCTATGTCAACCCATAGGGGAAATCAGTGCTCTGAGAAGGGCAGTGACTTGCCTGTGTCCCCCAGGGAGATCAAGACAAAGCCTGCTGGTTTCTGAAGACTGCCACCATGGTTTCTACCTGGGAAGGTAGGAATGGGAGCATTTGACTTTTTGGGAATCCACAGTATACCCTTCTCCTTTAATACCCACCCATCCACACCCCTTTCTGAGCCTCAGAGGCTCAAGCCTCTGAGCTTTGACCCTAGGTAGGCAAGAATCTCCAGGTCTCAGCTCAGGTTTACCCTTGCTCCCCTGGACAAGAGCCAGAATGATTGGTGGAGGTAAGATGCCTGGATGTGTTATCCTCACTCAACAAAGTAACTATTGAATTGCTGAAGTGAGACTATGCCTTCTGGGGCCAGATGGACCACAGATTGCCAGAACATGGGGCGARCTACTTTATCTCTTTGTTATGGCTTCTCTATAAGAGAAATAGTGATAGGGTTATGAAACTTAAATGAGTTAAGAATTGTTAAGTGGGGGCTGGRGTTGTGGCTCAATGGTAGAGCACTTGCCTATCATGTGTGAAGCACTGGGTTTGATTCTCAGCACCAAATATAAATAAATAAAGGTCCAGCAACAACTAATAAAATATTAAAAAAAAAAAAAAGAATTGTGCCTGGGCCAGACCTCCCACAAAGTCTTTGAGCCAATCTTTCCCTAGATATGGCTTCTTGCACCACTTTTGTCTTGCCACCTGCCTAAGATAGTCAAATGTCCCTTTCATGGGATAGAGGCCAGATCCATCTGCCGAGAAGGATTGAGTTGATGTCACCTCTCAGTCCTGGCTACCCATTTTTTTAAAAAAATATATTTTTAGTTGTAGATGGACAGAATACCTTTGTTTTATTTATTTATTTTCTGTGTKGTGCTGAGGTTCGAATCTAAGGCCTCAAACGTGGCAGGCAAGTGCTCCACTGCTGAGCTACAACCCCAACCCTGGATACCCACTCTTGTGGATGTGAGGGTCAAGTGGCCAGAATCTTCAGTCCTACTTGGAACTGATGGAAATTTCAAATGTAATCTAAATTCTGGATGGTGGATTTTGAGCCTAAGTGAAGTGACTTGTAGTTTCAGAGATCACCTCCAAATACACCACAGTCCCCACACCCTTCCTGTTACTCAAGGCCATGTGTGAGCTGTCAGAAATAGCAGAGAAGGGGCTGGGGATATGGCTCAAGCGGTAGTGCGCTTGCCTGGCATGCCTGCGGCCCAGGTTCGATCCTCAGCACCACATACAAACAAAGATGTTGTGTCCGTCGAAAAATAAAAAATAAATATTAAAATTTTCTCTCTGTCTCTCTCATTCTTTCTTTAAAAAAAAAAAAAAAAGAAACGGCAGAGAAGAAATCAGAGACTCAGAGACAAAAAGAACTGGGGAAATAAGACTTACCTCTATTTCTCAATATCCCAGTAAAGAATACTACTCTTCCTGAGACTTCCCTGCTAACAGAATTAGATCTATAGTTATTTGTATAGGTAATTTCTCTTTTTTAAGTTAATATTTATTTTTTAGTTATAGGTGGACACAATATATTTATGTGGTGCTGAGGATTGAACCTAGTACCTCATGCATGTTAGGCGAGTGCTCTATCTCTGAGCCACAATCCCAGCCTTAGGTATTTGCTCTTTATGCAAAAGAATAAAGTTTTTTCCTTCCTGAGAGGACCAAATGGTACAGCCTGAGCAATGTCTCTAGGTTCAGCCTCCAAGGTGCCAAGAAGCCAAGTGTAGCTATTTTTTAAAGCAGGTCAGTGTGAGCTTGTACTGTCAGCATGGAGCATGCAAAAGGAATGAATTCTCAAACTTGGAGACAAGTCCTGGGACTAGTCATAAAAGCTAAGACATGCAAGGGGCTATCTGATTCYTGGTGAGATTTTATGTACCTACTGAAGTCTTGGAGTAGAGGGGAAATATTCAAGCAGAGGAGGGTGACAACTGCTTCCTCCTCTTCCCCGCCCCCCAGACACTGAGTCCAGGGGTGCTTAACTTCTGAGCCACATCCTCAGCCCTTTTTATTTTTTAGAGACAGGGTCTCACTAAGTTGCTTAGGGTCTTGCTAAATTGCTGAGACTGGCTTTGAACTCATGATCCTCTTACCTCAGCCTCCTGAGCTGCTTGGGTTACAGGYGTGCACACTGTGCCTGCTTCCCTCCCCTTTTTAAGCAAGGAAAATAGTGTTTTCTTGTTGCTTACCATTGGGGAGTCTGGTTACTTACATAGGTTAAATGACCTGGCTTTTATCACATCATCCTAGGGCCAAGGTGGTCCAGAGCATTTACTGTGAGTTATTTAATAAAAATCTGATGATTGATTCAGAATATCTCATGTGCACATTTAAGGTACTGAATATTAAAGACCCCAGAGAGAGGCAAAGAGAGAGTCCAAAGGGGAGAGATTAAGAGACTGAAACAGAAACTCAGACTGAGAGGGACAGAGAGAGTTCAAGGTAGGAATGAGCAAAACTGGGTAAAGGCTGAGCAAAGCAGAGACTGAGGTCAGATGAGAGGGACTGAGTCTGAGTCTGTGTTTATTACATTCTTTGAGTATTCATTGAGCCCCTATGGTGGGACACATCATTTTAAGCTGGAGTCAAGCACTGAACAAAATTTATATTCTGATAAGAGAAGAYAGACAATAAACCAACGAACAAGTAAAATGCATTGCATGTCAGATGGAGATAAATGCTATGGAGAAAAATAAGCAGGAGAGGTGTTGGGGAGATAAGAGTTATAAAATCAGGGAGTTGCTGGGTGTGGTAGTATGGTACTATGTCCTATAGTTCAAGCTACTTGGGAGGTTGAGGCAGGAGGATACTGAGTTTGAGCTCAGCCTAGCCTACTTAGTGTGATGCTGTCTTAAAACAAAATGGTCTCAAGGAAAATGTGACATTGAGTACAGATCTGAGAGGAAAAGGAAGAAGTCTTGTAATATCTGGGTTTGAGAGTCTTCCAGTCAAGAAGTGGCAAGTGCAAAGTCCCTGAAGAATAAGGGGGAGGGAGAGTTGAGAAACAGATCAGAGCAATGAAAGGGGTCAAAGGGGTAGGGTAGGCCTCAGGAGGACTTTGGTTTTTTATTCTGAATGAAATTTAAACTGAAACTTGAAAGATAAGCTTACAGGAAGGCCTGAGGCTCCCAAGGAAGAATTGAGTTGTGGGCTTCAGGCTCTGGATTCAGTCCATTCATTTATTCATCTGTTTAACTTCCAATCTCCAAGCATTTAGGGGAGCCCACTTTGTTTCAGGACTTGTGCTGGCACTAGGGAAGAAATCCTTTTCCCTTGCTCAGAAGAAACTCTTTCAGGGTTTCAAGCCCTCCTGCTGGATAATAACATCATTGTGACTTGATGAGCAGTAAACTTGGGAAATGAGTGTGTGGCAAACTGGGGAGGAGTTATAGGCAAGGAGGAAGGAATCCATAGGGTGTGGAGGTGGACGTGAAGAAGGGGAGAGCTCTCCCAGTTTTCTGGCTTTTCTGTGGTGTAGAAGGCTCTGTCTCCAGTCTGGGCTAGGGAGAGAGCAGCTGATGGGCCAGGACAGGTGGCCCTGATATGAGATGCCTGCCTGCTGACTACTCAGCCCTCACTTTTAGAACAGTTTCCAGAAGTGATGGGAGGGGATGGGCAGGACAGCTAAATATAGTCCTGGGGCCATGGCTTAATCTGGGAGGGTCTGACTTCTGTTCACTATGTGCCCATCATCTGTGGTGTCCACTGCCAGCTGCCCCTGTAAGATCCCTGTCCTTGCTTTGAGTCTGCCTGTTGTGTATCTGACTCTCCTATAGTAGGGTTGACCCTTACTGGTCCTCCTGGGAGTCTCTTTTGTTCTAAGATCTCCAACCAGACCTGTGAGTCCTGTGGGCCTGGAGATATGGGGCAGGGGTGGGCTGGAGATATGGGGCAGGGGTGGGCTGGGGATCTAAGAAATGAGTGAGGAGGGTTAGGGGTGAATTTCTAGAGGATTTGGGGCTGGGGGTTGACCAGGCCTGAGTTAGAGGCTGATGCCTGGGGCAAGGATGAGCAAGAATAGTGGGCAAGACTGTTTGGAGCCTGACTTTGTGTTTAGGAACTGGGGTTGTTAAGGGTACGGATATGTGAGTGAGTGTGTGTGTTTAACATTTTTAAAAATGTGTTATTTTTAGATATACCTGACAATAGAGTATATTTTGACATATTATATATACACGGATGGCAGATACATTTTTTAATGAAGAAATGTTTGAATTTGCCTTTGTGACTGAAACTGAGTTCTCTTTCCCCTTGGCCCAAACCAGAGTCCCTTCCAGTATGGGATGTGAGGTCTTTTTAGGCTGCAACTCCTTCCTTTGAACACAGACTAGGACTCAGCCAAGGCCCTTGGGCCTCCCTGACCCACCTTTTCTCCTCCCAGGTTCCCCATGTCTGCTGCACCAGGTCTCCTGCACCAGGAGCTGTCCTGTCCGTTGTGCCTGCAGCTGTTCGACGCTCCTGTGACCGCTGAGTGCGGCCACAGTTTCTGCCGYGCCTGCCTGGGCCGTGTGGCAGGGGAGCCAGCAGCGGATGGCACAGTGCTTTGCCCCTGTTGTCAGGCACCCACACGGCCGCAGGCGCTTAACACCAACCTGCAGCTGGCTCGCCTGGTGGAAGGTCTGGCACAGGTGCCACAAGGCCACTGCGAGGAACACCTAGATCCTCTGAGCATCTACTGCGAGCAGGACAGAGCACTGGTGTGCGGTGTTTGTGCCTCTCTTGGTTCACACCGCGGCCACCGCCTGCTGCCTGCGGCCGAGGCCCATGCACGCCTCAAGGTGCTGGACCTTGCAGGGTTCGGGGTGGGATGGAGTTGTTGGATAGCATAGGGCCTGAAGGAGCAGGAAGTTGCTGCATTGATTTGAATCTGACTTCAGAGGTCCCTGGGCTCCTGGARTTGCTAGGGGAAGCAGATGGGGCAAGGTGGCCAGTGTAGGGGGGCGGGCTGGGAGCAGTGCTGCTCAACTAGATTTCCCAGTGGCAGTCCCAGGAGTAACCTAGAATTGTGGGGGCGGAGTCTGCTGAATTGAGGGCTAATGTGCGATTGGATGACCCGGGTGGTCCTGTCAGGCTGGCAAGTAAGTGTGGCGTGGGATCCCATAAGACTAGAGGATTGAGATTTGAGGCATGCCAGGAGGCGGGGCACATGCTCTCCTGTAGTGCACAGCTGCTTGGCTGAGGCCCTTGCACCCAACACAAACTTAAGCTGCCAAACTCACATGTCTGAGAGTCACCACATGGGGCTTAACAGAAAGGGAGAAAGGGAGGCAGGAAGGACAAGGCATGCCTAGGCCTGCACCTCAGTGCGCAGGCCTAGGGTGGCATCCAAGAGCATAGTCCAGGTTGCTTTTCAGGAGGAGCTATAAGTCCTTAATACCTCGACAGCTCACGCACAGTTGTACGTGCCCCAAGTTTTGCAAACCTCATGGATACCCAGGAAAGATACAAACATTGACGAATGGAGACAATGGCACACATTAGCTTGCGCATATTATACGAATGCAAATCACATGCATGTAGCTGCCAAAAGATCCAAAGGGTCCAGGAAGGTCTGTCTTGAAGTATTTATTGGGTTATAAACGACAGGTGCAGGTTTGGGGGAAGCGGAGTCTGGAGGCAAGGGCGGGTTCCTAGATTGATCTCTGCTGAGGGGACGAAGGCAATGTCTTCCCCTACTGTTGTGTATGCTGGGCTGGGGTGGGGGTGGGTGCTTCATCAGCATTTTGTTGCTCCTCTTCTTAGCCCCCAGTCTCCTAGAGAGGGTAGATAACYGTTTTTTATGCTGGTATTTGAGGCCTCTAGACTTCCCCAGGGGAGTAGCCTAACAGCCCCTCCCACTTCTGCTTTTCTGCAGTCAGTCCAGTCCTGGTTGGTGGTCTCCTAGCCCATGGCAGGAGCCTCCTCCCAGGGGCCTGCCCAGTCCATGCTCTCACCTCTGCTGATGACTCCAGAACTCCCAAACTCGCCCATCTTTTATCTGTGAAGATAGAACAAAACCCATTAAATGGAACAGGGTGTTAGGCGACCCAGGGACCTCSAAGGGCTCCAGGGACCCAATCATCCAGGATCCACACCAGCCCAGCGCTAAACTACAGGGAGGGGTTGGCCAGAGGTCTGAAGGGGAGCTTAAGAGGGAACCTGAAGGAGGAGGGGTCAGGAAGACTCTGGGGCAGAACTGGACACCTGGAGCCCTGCGAGCAAGAGRGGTTGGGTCCCGTGCCCCCGTACCAGACTCATACAGAATGAATGGAATCCTCGGTGCTGGAGACTCATGCAACCCCCTTAAGTCTCGTCGCCTCTTCCTGCATGCCCATGTCCAGCAGCACGGCTGCGGTGAGTTCTGCTGCGTAGTCCTCACGGTAGAAGACCACCAGCTTGTCGGTGAGGTCCACTGCGTCGAGTGGCATGAGCGCCCCCCGCGGGATGTTCCGACAGCCCTCGCGCAGCTGCACCGCCCCCACTTTCAGCTTGAACTTCTTGAGCTCATCCGTGGTCAGGTTCTCCAATGCCTCCAGGATGGCGTCGCGTTTCTTCCCCATGGCTCAGCTCTGCAACCTCTGAACCTCCGAAAGCCAGCTCCTTGAGCCTCCAGACCTGTCTGTCCGTCCCGCACCAGTTGGGGACGACGCCTGAGAGGACGTCTTAGGGAGGAGACTGATCTGGCAGCCRGCCCAGGAGGAGGCTGGCTCCTGCTGGGCGGGGACTACGCAAACACCTAATGGGCCCCCAGGTTCCCCCTGAGAGAATAGAAGGTTCCAATTTGTTGAGGTGGGCATGGCTGCTCCCATTCTGCAGAGGAAAAAAATCGAGGTTGGAAGCCATGTAGGCAGTAAGGCATGGGTGATTCTAGGACCTTGCAGCAAGAAGTGGCTTTGGCAGGAGCAATTAGGAGTTTCCCTATACTCTCATTTCACAAACTAACAGGTCTTGGGTAGGATCCAGCTGTGTTTACTTGGTCCGTGTAGGGATCATATGTATTAAATTGCCTGCTCCCAGAGCCCAGGGTGTGCAGGAAGCCTGGCTGGAAATTAGGCTGATGTTCTGCTTTTAAGTAAGGTGTGAAGTCAGGAATAGGGAGAGATTACATTTCTTCTTTTCCACATCCTTTATTCACCCTGAAAGCCAGTTGTGTGCCAAGTACTGTACTTCCCTGTCTGGGGGTGGAAGGGGGGAGTCCAAACAGCATGAGAGGGTAGGGTCAGTGGAAGGTAAGGCCAGAGAGGAGTTAACAAAATTGAATGACCAGGGCCTTAAGGCATGCAAATGTGTTTGGGGTTGAGGATGTGGCTGGAAGTAGAGCTGGCTTTGAGGTTGAGCTACAGAGGATGAGTTTAGGGGGAAGGTGTGGGTTTGGAGTGGGCAGCACAAATTCCCTCTTTTGCCCTGCTTCCCAGACACAACTCCCACAGCAGAAGCTGCAGCTGCAGGAGGCCTGTATGCGCAAGGAGAAGAGTGTGGCTGTGCTGGAGCATCAGCTGATGGAAGTGGAGGTGAGGGGCTAGCATGGCAGAGCCTGCTCGTGGTCCAGGCTGGGAGTTCCCAGCCAAATGCTTTTGCTTCTCTCCCATTTCCCCCAGGAGACAGTGCGTCAGTTCCGGAGTGCTGTTGGGGAGCAGCTGGGCAAGATGCGGCTGTTCCTGGCTGCGCTGGAGGGTTCTTTAGACCGTGAGGCAGAAAAAGTTCGGGGTGAGGCAGGAGTTGCTTTGCGGCGGGAGCTGGCAGGTTTAAACTCTTACCTGGAGCAGCTGCGGCAGATGGAGAAGGTGCTGGAGGAGGTAGCTGACAAGCCACAGACTGAATTTCTCATGGTGAGTATTGAATGACTTCCTCTCCCAAGTCCCCTGGCTCAGGCTTCATCCCATTGTCAAATGGGGACCCTGAGGCCCAGAGAGGGTCAGGGATGAACCAGGGTCACATATTCAGGGAGTAGGCTTCAGGACTGTAGTTTAGGCTGGACATTGCAGAAGAATACTATCTTTAAGTGGGTACCATCCATATCACAGACATTATAGGTTTGCATAATTAGTAGCATAATTTTCTTTCTTTTTTTTACTAAAAATAATAATTATTTATTTATTCATTATTAGTATAAATATTTAACAGGTAAATTCAAGTTTCTTGGTGAGGGGGCACTTTTTTTTAAAAAAAAATTGACATAAAGGTAAAAGACTGGGATGGCCTTGAGCGTGTGTATCTTCTCTGATTTTTCCTGATCTTATACTCAGCATTTGTGTTTGTCTGTCCCATCCTCAGAAATCCCTAGAGTCCTTCCTGTGTGCTTTACTTCCATTATTTTTTTTTTCTCTCTCTCTTTCCAGAAATACTGCCTGGTGACCAGCAGGTGAGATCAACTTGGCTCTACTCCTTTGCCCAACTTGTACTAGTCTTCTAGGGTCACTAGCTGGCTTACCCTCTACTCACAATAAATCTGCAAACCCCTATTCACCCACTGCTGTGTCCCTGAACTTTGTATTGAACATAGACATGAACCAGACCTGGTCCTTATCCTACTTTAGGGTAGACATGGGCAGGGACAGAGGCATCATTGTGTGCTTGATGCTGCTGGAGAGGGAAAGGGGTGGCCAGTGGGGGACAGAGTGAAGAGCAAGTGCAAGAACTGAAAGGGATGAGAAGCTTSGACTTTGTTTCAACAGAAGGTCCCCTGCCCACATTGTAGTTGTATGTATATAACAAAAATTTGGCCATTTTAAATGCACAGCTTTTGTTCAGTGGCATTAAGTATATTCATGTTGTGCAACAACTATCTCCATCCATTTCCCATTTCCAGGATTTTTTTTCTTTCTTTCTTTCTTTTTTTTTTTTTTTTACATTCCCAAACTGAAACTCCAGTAGAAGAGTTTTAAGCAGGAGTGTGATGTGGGGAGATCCTGGAGCTTCCTCTCCCATAGCTTCTGTCTTTCTGTCCTTGGGCACTTTCTCTTACTCTTCTTGCACACAATCACTTCTCTCTCATCTCTCCACCTCCAGACTGCAGAAGATCCTGTCAGAGTCACCACCACCTGCACGTCTGGATATCCAACTGCCTGTGATCTCAGATGACTTCAAGTTTCAGGTGTGGAAGAAGATGTTCCGGGCTCTGATGCCAGGTACTGGGAGGGGCTGACTCAGGGTTTGTATAATGGGGTGCGGGTRTTGATAGCAGACCCCAGCCACATGTAGAGAGGCCTGCCAACCCCAGCTTGGAAGGTGCCCATTGCCCTTTTACCTCTGCAGCCCTATAACTTGTACTTGGAGGAGGACCTTTAAGGGCATGGGGTTGACAGTGGGTTACTGACAAGGAAAGAATGCAGCTAATCTCGGGTTTTGCTGCTGCAGCAGATGGGAGGCTGGGGCCTGGGTTTGAACCATTGATTCCCTGTATGATCCTTGGCCAGTCCCAGCCCTTCTCTGGGTATGGAGTTGATGATTTCTGCTAATTGGGGGCTGAGGATCTGCAGAATTCTTGGAACCTTGAGGACTCTGGCCTAGGTGAGACACTGATATTAATGGCCTATATTTGGGGAGGTCCAAGAATTCAGCCTCCATTCCAATGAGCTAGAGCACCTCTGAGTGCTATAGGTTACAGAGCTCCATACAAACACTTATGCCTGGTGCCGCCCTTACTGCCTCTGGGGGTTGGGGTGGATTGGAGGTGCCCCCAGCATATTTAAGAGACAACTATGGCCCAGAGGATAGGTCAAGCTAGAATATGAACTGTTCTATTTCTTGCTCTGTGACCCTGGGCCTCACTCAGATAGTCAGTGTATTCCTTATATCAACTTAGTCTTTTTCCCCACCACCTAGAGAGGTAATCACGGCCTCATTTTACAGCTGAGCAAACTGAAGTTCAGTGGTGTGTTTTTGGCCCTAGCTAGAAAGCAGAGAGGGGCCCACATCCAGAGATATTGAGAGGATTAGARGAAACAAGCTGGCCCTACGCTGGTAGAGAGGAGGCTCAAGGAGGCAAGGGCCTGACTACTGTCTCTCTGGCAGCGCTAGAGGAGCTGACTTTTGACCCAAGCTCAGCGCACCCCAGTCTCGTGGTGTCTCCCTCTGGCCGCCGTGTGGAATGCTCAGAGCAGAAAGCGCCGCCAGCGGGCGAGGATACTCGCCAGTTCGACAAGGCCGTGGCGGTGGTGGCGCACCAGCTGCTCTCCGATGGCGAGCACTACTGGGAGGTAGAGGTGGGCGACAAGCCTCGCTGGGCTCTCGGCGTGATGGCAGCGGATGCCACCCGACGTGGCCGACTGCATGCAGTACCCTCACAGGGCCTTTGGCTGCTGGGGCTGCGCGATGGCAAGATCCTGGAGGCGCACGTGGAGGCCAAGGAACCACGTGCTCTGCGAAACTCTGACAGGCGGCCTTCACGGGTGGGCCTCTACCTAAGCTTCTGTGATGGTGTCCTCTCTTTCTATGATGCTAGTAATTCCGACGCGCTCGAGCTGCTCTTTGCCTTCCACGAGCGCCTACCTGGGCCGGTGTATCCCTTCTTTGACGTGTGCTGGCATGACAAGGGCAAGAATGCCCAGCCGCTATTGCTCGTGGGGCCTGATGGGGAGGAGGCCTGAGCCACCTGTCTGGGTGGGAGAGGGGTGCTGGGGTCCTGACCATAGGAAGAGTCTCCTTTGTCAGGCCTGGAGGGACTTGGGTGGGGGGCGGGTGGCCAGGGCTGAAGACAGGGCAGAGGGGCTGGATACTGGGGTGTCTCCAAAAGTTCTGAAAAGTATGGGAGTTGGCATAAACGGGAACAACTGAGAGGGATTAGGGTGTCCTTGTGAATGGGACCCATAAGGAAGGGAGATCCAGAGTCAGGTCAGTTAGGTAATCTTTTTCTGGGGACCAGGAGGCCCAGAGTTCCAGGAAGAAACTGAGGTTGAGGGAGAAGAGGGAATGCGGGTTAGATTTGGTGAAGATTGAGGTGAGAAGTTTGAGAAATCTGAAGAAGGGGTGCCTGGAGCCTCACATCCCACTCCTCTGTAAGGCCCTGGGGCAGGAGCTCTAGACTCCCCAAACCTGAAGACCTTTTACTTAGTGCTTGTTTCAGATGGTCTTTTTCAAATCATGGAGTAGTGACTAGATAAAACATAGATAGTTGATATTCTGATGCAGTAGGTCTGAGGCAACAARAAATTATCACTTTTAATAAGTTCACTGGGAATCCTGATGCTGCTGGTCACAGTGGGATCACACTTAGAAGCACACCCTGCCTCTTTAGCCAGCCATTAGTTAGATCAAGTCATAAGTCCAAAATATATTCCTCCATTCTACAGACATTTAAAAACTGCCAGAGCCTTGGTGGGTAAATAAGTCAAACTTCAACTTATTTCCCTTTGCTTCTGGAATGTCTTAGACACCGAGGAAATCCCCCAGGTTGCCCACCAAGAGAAAAAACCTGATGCTAGACCCTCTWTGGGCCCTGCTGCTTGTGGAAAATAAAAGATTCCCACTAGGGTTTACAGAATTGGCCTCTCACTACTTACTTCTTGGTTCATACCTTTAGTTTTATCTCAGAGGCTGCTCCAGAGTAACCACTAAGGCTCAAGGTGAGTTTGCTGGAGGGAGAGGCCTTTGGGGATTTGAGCAGGTAGGATTGGAGGCTGCTCTACCATTTATCCAAAGGTGATGGCCCTGATCATTCACTCTCACAGGCTAGATCTGTCACTGCTGCTGTGTGACAGACAGAGCCTGGGGTCCCCTGGCTCCTGAATCTGTGTGGGGATTTTCTTGTTGGGGGCTGATTATGGGACTGAGAAGGTAAAAGGAGATTGTGGGTGGGATAAGAAAGACTTAAAGGGGGAATACATTTGAGTGTGTCTCTCAGAGGGAGGCCTGTAGACCTTGGCTTTGGGAGACATGGAGGATTAATTTAAGAAGTTCTTTCATGCTAGAAAGTAAAGCAATAAAGTTAAAAGAATTACTTGGKTGTAGAATCCAGCACCATTAATAAAAACTATTATAATCGAGCTTCCTCATTAAATCTGTGTGAAGAGATAAATGGCCTGTTTTTATTTATTTTTTTATTTATTTATTTTTTTAATTTTTTAATATTTTTTTAAATTTTTTACTTCTCGGCGGACACAACATCTTTGTTGATATGTGGTGCTGAGGATCGAACCCGGACCGCACGCATGCCAGGCGAGCGCGCTACCACTTGAACCACATCCCCAGCCCATGGCCTGTTTTTAGACAGTAGCCTTCGAATTGCCCTCTTTGCCTTTAGATGATCTTTCTAAAAAAAAAAAAAAAAAAAAAGTTCCATCACCAGCATTGGAAAATAAAAACAAAAACAAAAAACAAGCAAATGACTCCCACAACAACCTACAAATGTGGTCAGATGTTTTAGTTGCTCAAAACTTTCAACAACTCCCTGTTGCCTACAGGATCGAGCCCTAAGTCTTTGGCTCTGCATTTGAGGTGCCCAGTCATTCTCCATGCTCACCCTCTATCACTGTCCCATGTATTTCTACACTTGGGCCCTATAGAATTCTTGGGGTCCCTACACTCCCTACATCTTGGAACTCTTTCTCTAGGAATGCCTTCAAGACACTCCAAACACTACAATTTATTTTCCTGTCTTGACTGTCTAAGCCTCCAGAGTTACTGTCCATTCTGGATCTCTCAAGCACCTTCTTCCTAAAGTACATCCATGGCATTGAACTTTCTATATGGGTGGCTGAGGAGAGATGCTGGTATCCAAGAGTCCCTAGTCTCTTTCTCAGGAAGTGGGTACTTGAGAAGGAGATACCAAAATTAAATATTCAAGAACTTTATAAGGGCAGATACCTRTGTGAGAGAAAATGGGGAGGGCCATCAGATTGTGATGAAATCCTACCCTGAGTGAAGGAGAGAAGATTGGAAGGAGAGAAGCATCTTTGACTGTTTTGGGGACTCYTGCAGCCAAAGCCAACTATCCAAAGAGTCCTGTGTCTTCCAGGTACTATCCTTGACTTTGTCTCTCTRCTATGTTTAGTCAAAGTCTGACCTCTGTCATTTATGTTCCCTTTGGTTGGAATTATGTCAGGGAACTTTCTTTTCACAGTGGCCACATGTTCTTGCTGCATAGAGTTGCCCCGACTTGAGCTGTGTGCATTGATGGGAATGATCCCATGTCTGCCATGGCTGACTGGGTGAGAGATGGAGTTTGTGGGCAACTCCTAGAGAGAGAGTTCCTTGTTGAGTGGTCTGACCCAGTCAATATCCCTTGGGATGTAAGATGATGAAATGTAAACAAAGAAGTGGATCCTTTCAGCATTTGTGTCCTAGAGGACAGTATCTCCTCTTTTAGTACTATTATGGTGTGAATATCGTTTGTCCAAACCAAAATTGACGCTTGCTCCCAGTGTAATGATGGTCTTTCTTTCTTTTAAATATTTATTTTTTAGTTTTTTTTGGGTGGACACAATATCTTTATTTTATTTTTATGTGGTGCTGAGGATTGAACCTAGTGCCTTGCGTATGCCAGGCGAGCGTGCTACCACTTGAGCCACAACTCCAGCCCCTCTTTTTTTTTTTTTTTTTGGTACCAGGGATTGAACCCAGGGACATTTAACCACTGAGCCACATCCCCAGCTTTTAGATTTTATTTTGAGACAGGGTCTCGCTAAGTTACTTAGGGCCTTATTAATTGCTGAGGCTGCCTTTGAACTCGTGATCCTTATGACAACCTCCTGAGCTGCTGGGATTACAGGTGTGTGCCACCATACCTGGCCAGTATAATGACATTGAGAAAAGGGAAAGCAGAGGTATTTTGAGTCATGCAAGATTTACCCCATGGGCTGGGATTGTGGCTCAGTGGTAGAGTGCTTGCCTAGCATGCATGAGGCACCGGGTTCAATCCTTAGCACCACATAAAAATAAAGATATTGTGTCCACCTAAAAAAATAAAAAATATTTTTTTAAAAAAGATTTACCCTCATTAAGGTATTAAAGTAATTCCCATGAGAGTGGGTGAGTTTTGGGGAGAGTGAGTTGTTATAAAGTGAGTTTGGCTTCCTTGGCTTTCTCTTACTTCCTCACTTACCACATGATCCTCTCTTCTGCACACACCCAACTTTTGTTTTTCTCCTATACATGGAGCAGCATGTGACTTTTACCAGAAGCTGAGCAGATGCTGGTGCCATGCTCTTGGACTTCCAGGACTGTGATGTAAAGAAACCTGTTTTTGTAAATTACTGCGTCTCAGGCATTTTATCATGGCCACAGTAAATGAACTAAGACAAATACTCCCCCATCTGCTTTGGGGGACCTGGGAACCTAGAGAAACTGCTAAGACATTTCCTGTGCCTTCTGATGTCCTCAGTGATTTGGTACTCCATATCTCATTTATCTTCACATCTCTAGGCCTTGCAACTACTAGAGCTCTGTGGCTCTTTACACTGCAGTTTTGGTATCCTGGGGTGCATGAAGATGTTACTGGCAGTAAAGGCAGGGAAATGCTTGTTTCCTGGCTATCCTAGCTTGATGGAATTGGTCACTTGCCCATAAGAAATAAGCAAATGATGTAAAAAAAAAAAGAATTTAAAGCAGCTTGATCATATTGGAGATAAGCAGTTAGGTTGTTTCTCTGCTGGAACTGTAGAAGCATTTAAAATTTATAGAAACAGGCCTGGGGTTGTGGCTCAGTGGTAGAGTGCTTGCCTAGCATACTTGAGGCACTGGGTTTGATCTTTACCACCACATAAAAATAAATAAATAAAATAAAGGACCATTTACAACTAAAAAAATATTTTAAAAATTATAGAAACAAGCCTGGTACATTGGTGCATGCCTGTAATCCCAGTGACTTGGGGTGCTGAGGCAGGATGATCACGAGTTCAAAGCCAACCTAAGCAAAAGCAAAGCAATAGGCAACTCAGTGAGACCCTGTCTCTAAATAAAATACAAAATAGGGCTGAAGGTGTGGCTCAGTGGTCCAGTGGCCCTGAGTTCAATCCTCAGTATGGCCCCCCTAAAAAAATTATAGAAACAAAAGCCAGGAAATACACATATTTAGATTTAACTAGGCTGTGCTAATCAGAGAAAGTGTCATAGTTTCAACTTCCTTGGAAACTCCGGCTGTGGAAAACCAGTTATCAGGGAGTTTACTTTTAATATAAAAGTGGCTCTATTTCAGGATCACCTTGAAGGACTTGACTCTACAGGTGTATGGTGCATCTTGAAATATTCTCTCTTTTTTTTTTCTTTTTAAATTTTACAGTGGTGGGATTGAACTCAGGGCTTTAGAGCCAGGCAAAGAGCTCTACCACTGAGCCACACCCATAGCCCTTATTATTATTCTYGACAGTGATGGCAGTGAGAAGAGTGTGTAATCTAACCATAAGCACAAATTGAACATACTGTTTGTATTTAAATAAACATATTATAAAGCAGAATGCAGAGTTTGCATGAGTTTTCAAGATTAAACAAGAGATATCTATGAAGTTTTGCACTGGTGCTGGTTATTTGTATTTTAGACTCCAGACTCTCAGCAATATAAGATTTAAAAATTATTTTAAACAATATAAATAATGAGAGAATGTAATTAATATCTTACACATAAGGATATAATTTTTGTCAACTACATCTTCCAATCCTGATTTTTTTTTTTTTTATTTTAGTACCAGGGATTGGACCTAGGGACACTTACTTAATCACTGAGCCACATCCCCAGTTCTTTTTATATTCAGAGACAGAGTCTTAATAAGTTGTTAAGGCCTCACTAAGTTGCTGAGACTGGCTTTAAACTCTTGAGCTTCCTGCTTCAGCCTCCTGAGCCACTGGGATTACAGGCATGGGTCCCTACTCCTGATTTCTTCTTGTCCTTCCTCTTCCTCCTTTGTTGCCAATTTGGCCAGAAATATATATTTGATTTTTCATCCCATTTTTCTGGCATATAATTCCTAAAATCCTTGGAATTTCTAAAGTGATGTTATTTTGCTTGACTTGAGTTTACTGATGACTGGCAGCTCCTGGAGAGCTTCAGGTTAGGGACTGGTCACTGGAAAGGCCAAGGCAGAATTAGAGGGTTAGGACTTTCAGCCCCATCTGCCAAGTGTCCTCCAGGGAGGAGAGTGAGGCTGAAGGTTAATTGATCACTGAGGGCCAATGGTATAATCAATCACACCTACATTTAAGAAAATAAAACTTCCTTAAATCCCCAAAGGCCAGGGCTTGGAGAATTTTAGGGTAGCTGAACAGATGGAAGTTTCTGGAGGGTGGTATCCCTAGAGAGGGCAAAGAAGTTCTGCACTCCTTCCTACAGGCCTCGCCTTRTGYATCTCTTCATCTGTGTCTTTTGTAATATCTTTTATAGTAAACCTGTAAATATGAGTAGGTATTTCCCTGAGTTCTGTAGGTCTCTTTAGTAAATTAATGAAATTCAAGGAGGGGTCTTAGGAACCTGACACCTGATTTATAACTGGTTAGTCAAAAGCACAGGTGACCTATAGTTGGCATCTGAATCAGGACAGCAGGGTACTGATCCCTCAACTTGTGGGATCTTATCCTTTCCCCAGGTAGATTTGAAGGCACCTAGCTGTTGTCTGTTGCTACAACATTACTTGCTTGATGTGTAGGACACCCACCTCCCACCCCTGGCGTCAGAAGCAAGCTGAATATATAGTGGGAGAGACTGCATTTGGAGTTGTTTTTTCTACTGTTGTTCCCCAGAACAATAGTGTGTGTGTGTATAATATCCCATAGAAAATATATTGTGTTTTCTTTCTATATACATGACACTCTATATGAGTATGACATTATTCTATGCGTAATTTTGTGCATGCTCYTTTCATTGAACCATACTGTCAGGAGATCTGTTCATGTTACTACACTGGGCTGAGGGTATGGTTCAGTGGTAGAGCACTTGACTAGCATGTGTGAGGTCCTGGGTTCAATTCCTACCAGCTGCCCCCACCAAGTATATTTTCTGCATAGTATTCCATTGTATGGATATGCCATTGCTTATTTTACCGTATCTCCATTAACT